GAGAGAGAGATTCCGTGATGGCGTCGCAGAAGGATGAGTGAAGCAGAAAAGAAGAGTCGGTGGATATATCTCGAAAAGAAAGGCTGAATATGCGAATGAAATCTAGTCGGACAGGAGTTGATAAGGATTGAACCCTATAAACAGGGTTGACGCGTGCGTATAGCAGTCGCTTTAGTGTCCAGGCGTTAGCGTCTGCGGCTGAACGACGTCAGCTCGTGGCCTACGATAGATTGGATTTCATGCTTATACGGCCAAATTTGTTTTCGCAATATGGCCACCTTTTTTATTTCAGCTTCATTGATTGGTGAATGGTCGTTAGTTATAATTGAACTGAAGGTGTCATCGACTGAACCGTTTTGACAACCGCTTGGGGTGGCACTTGGGACATAGGTTCGAGGAAAGGGGTCATTGGGATCGGGCAGAGTAGAAATGATTGGGGGGTGGTGGCTGTAGCTGTAGAAAGGGCCTATAAGTCGGTGCAGCAGTATGTTGGACGCAAGGGTTTGTATCATTGCAGCTGTTATAAAAATTCTACATAAAAGAATTCAAGATCAAACCTTGTTGTCAACAGCAATTAAATAAAACTCTTTGACGAATTATAGTTGCCAACCACAGATACAATATCTAAATTCATGAATCATATGAAAAATGCAGTCATGAATATAAATGAAATTTCACTTTCTAACAGTGAAAACAGGCAAAAATATTAGCTGGAAAGAAAGTCTGTCTCATTTGAAGACGAAATAGGAAGAACTTCTTGTCTGGTCCTAATTGATATATTTAATCAAGTTAATATTTCCTCTCATTATCGATAATATCTATTAGAAAATTGTTGATCACTCGGTTGTAGAATTATTCAGGTTTTGATGCAAAGAAACACACAATATTAGTTTTATCATCTTCACAATTAATAAACTGTTTTTCCTTTTAAGGAAATGAGTTGAATAGATGATATTTAGATGGAACAAGGCCAGAAGATTATATATATATCAAGGCCATATTTACTTTCATATTTTCGTGTGTAACTCGAGCAATATGTGATCTTGCATTATAGACGATGAAGCAACGATAGGCGCTTTTTCTGCAATCCTGCAAAGTTTTCAACTGACGACAGTACGACCCCCCACCCACTAACTTGACACTCCATGAAAGACGCTAACCTTCATATTCCAACAAATACAAAGCATAACTTTTTCCAGTGTAGTCCTGTTTTTAGGGATAGATTTTCCTTTTCCCGTGTTTGTTAACCATTGTTGTTTCTGTTCAGTATGTTTATAAAGAACTTGGTTTTCATCACTGGTGATAATTCTCATCGGGAAAGGTTCGATAACATCGTTTACAAAATTAAAAATGTATCTTTTAATCTGTATGGAATCATTAAAAGAGAAGACAAAATCCTACAATAGTCCTTTTTTGTTCCCCATAAATTTATATATATAATGAATATTCAGGCTGTACGAATTAATTTAAACGCGATTAGTCTGTTTTTTTTTGTTTTTTTTTTATAGTTTTCCAATTTTCGAATAAATTGTTTATATCCACAATTCTAAAACTTCGATAAACTGTTCAAAGGTTACGTTTTTGTTCTGTTATTACTTTCGAATCTCACATACATTATCAACAACAGGTAGACAAGATTTTGCCATTTTTTGGTGGGGGTGCTAGGATTTAAATTTAATTAAAATATACAGGTATCCTATGACTGACATCATGGGCAAAAAGTTTTTAAAGAACTCGACTGCATCGCAAAAGAATGCATAATATATTTTATATGCATTATTATTATTATTATTATCATTATTATTGTTGTTGTTGTTGTTATTGTTTTTATACATACTAAATATTTTATGCACACTTTAAAATACCACATGAAAGTTATTTTAATACTGTTTTTGTTTCCTTTGTATAATAATAGCTTCGAGTATTTTAAGTCTTTCGTAGCACTTAGTGTTGTATAGTATTAAAACAAAATCTACTTATATTTGGTTAATGTTAATAGTTGTATTTTGGTCCTTTGCACAAAATTTTGATAAGTGATAAGTTAGACTACGAGAGAGTGTGGTGCATGTGTTACTAATGTTAGAATTTAATATTGTTTTGTTATTAATAATATTGGCATTGAAACCTTCCAAATGGTATAAGAATTCATAAACAACATTCTTTTGATATAGTTGTTGGTAATGATTACGTTAGACCTTTACAACTTTTTATAGTAAATTATAAATCTAAGGTATTTAACTGAATCATTAATTGATATGTATCGGCGAATTATATTTTTAATGACTTTTTCCTCTTGCTTATAGTTAGGGTACATCTGGTTACGGAAGAATAAATTAATGATTTTTTTTTTATTTCAGGATGGAAGGTGGTAGCATTTGTTAGGGTCCCAGCTACAGGCAAATATTGAAACTCCAAATCAAAATGCTATGAAAGTATAAAAATACAGTTTTATAGAAAAATACCAACAATACATATTCATGGTAAAATGACCAACAATACATATTTATGGCAAAATGACCAACAATACATATTTATGGCAAAATGACCAACAATACATATTTATGGTACAATGACCAACAATTCATTTTATCTGCAGTTGAAGGCATACACTTACGTTCAAAATATTTAGATTTCGGCATTAAATAACCCATAGAGATGTTGATATGCCACTAAATAAAATCAACCAACCAACTTCAGGATTTGTTCTAAAATTCTTAAAAATCTTATTTGCCAGTCGACGAAATGCTTGGAGGAAATTATTGTTGATAAGTGTTTGTTTTAAGTTGTTTCGAAGAACAAAGTATTTGAATTCGATTAATCATTTTTTATTGCAGTTATTTTATAACTGTGAAAATATTCACTTTGAAGAAAACAATATCAATGTCGATGTTAGAGGCTTCAGTTATCTTTGCCTGTTTTAATATGGTGAGGATTTTCTTTCTTTGAAAAGATTCGATCTGACCAACACTGATGTTTAAGGAAAAAGGACGACCAAGGCAAGCGTATTTAGAAAATTTTAAAACAGCAAAGGATAGAAAGCTATGGAGAGCCATGATCTGTAAATAGATGAGAAAATCTGTTGGGTTCATTTGATATCTCGTGAAAATAAAAAATGGAATTGATTTTTTTTTTTTGTCGTTCTGATCGGATATCATAAGATGCAGCTTCAAGAATCTGGGAGATTTTGTCAAGATCACGTTATCAGGAGAGAATAGATTTTGTTAACAAAACTTTATTACTATTATTTTGGTCGACAAAGCTTAGTTGTTTCACTGCGCATGAGCCGTAGGCTATAGATCTCCATCACCAACAACAATATCGTCACCATTTTTGTCATTAATACAAACATCAGTGTTAACAACAAAACTACTGACAGGCAGCAGTCGGCAAAGTCATGTTCCTCGACAAAAGAATATTGTCTTTTCCATGTTTACACGAGTCTCTGACCGGCGTTGACAAAATTTGAACGCATTTATTAGCGGTCGTATAAACTATGAACACTTAGTAGCCGCGGTTCGGCCACGTGAACACATTCTGGACTCTCTTTTAAGAAGATTAATTTCATTAAAATATTTCAATGTGGATTTCGTTTTTGTTGATATTGTCTTCCCAAAATTAAAAAAAAGTACATTTGTTTGACTATATATTTGACTGTATGTATAGTTTATTTTTAGATAAGTTTTGTTTCTGTAAATGCATGTGTGAAAGTCGGTATATATGTAGGTACCTGCGTATTTTTACTGATGAGTTTGTGTATATGGGTGTAATTGATTGCGTATTTGAATATAAGGAAATAGCTTCTCATGCCTATGTATCAAGCGTCAATGAAAGTAAATGGATTATATATATATATATATATATATATATATATATATATATATATATATATATTGCATGGAGGAAATTAATGACATACCTCTGCTTTGTCCGCAAGACGTTTTGCTACTGAATTGCTATCTGTAATAAGGATAATTTTATGGGCTATAGGCGGGAAAGTTCAACTCCTATTTCTATACAATTGAAATCTAGACTTATTATTCCCGGAGTGACATTCGTATCTATCTATCTATCTATCTATCTATCTATCTATCTATCTATCTATCTATCTATCTATCTATCTATCTATGAGATAAAATTGTAATACACAAGTACACATCACTTTTTATGTAGAGATTATGTATAATGGTCTGCGTATATATATATATATATATTATGTGTGTATAGATAGATAGATAGACACGAGTACACACTCATATATAAAGAATTATATCTAAATTAAAACTAATATTCGTACATACGAATGTTTATATATGAGAGTTTATCTACATAAACATCACAAATTTTACAATTTTGTGCATAAAACGCTAAATAACTTTTCTTTAACGAAGAAGTGTAATTTGTTAAGGATAGTTTTATAAACAATATCCATTTTATATATATATATATATATATATATATATATATATATGTACACATACACACACACACACATATATATATATATATATACATACACACATATATATATATATATATATATATATACGTGCGGAGATACGCATACAAACACACGCATTTACATGTGTGTATGTGTGTGTTTCTCTTTATACATACGTAAAATAAAATGCAGTAATGAAATTTTGTGTGTGTATGTATATGTGTCTCGATATGCATATTTAAGTCTGTGTGAGTAGATATGTTACATTATTTACGTTAGTCGCTTAAAAAATCTGTTTATTTGTTAAAGCCGTTCGTCGATTGCGTCAGCGTGTGTCGCCATGAACAAATCTTTTGACATCCTAGACGAACGCGCACAGTGGTCACGTGATCTTATTATGGTACCTACGGTTGCTGTTATAAAAGTTTACACCCGCACCAAATAGCAAACAAATCCGCCATACTTTTTGTCACTTCATTTTTGCTTTGACATATTTTGTTATTTGGTCTGTCATTTCTACATTTTAAGAAAAAGATATTTCACTTTGTCCCTGACAATTAGTATGCTCTTCTTTCTTTCTTTCTTTCTTTCTTTCTTTCTTTCTTTCTTTCTTTCTTTCTTTCTTTCTTTTCGCTTGGTTATGCTCCATTTTAGCTTTTATAGGATCAGTTTATTTCTTCTACGTTTATTGCTTTTCGTCCTTTTTTATGCCTTGATCAATGGCTTTATGGTGGTCAACTCGTCTCGAACTGTCGAGGGACGAATTCGTCTTTCACGGTCGATTCCTGAAAATCTCTTGACCAATCTCTTTGGTGGTTCTTTTCCAAAACTTTTTCGCCCTTTCCTCCGTAAACACGTTTTCCAATTTATTTATTTATGATCCATGATTATAAAAATGCCGCATCCGAAAATAAGATTAATTGGTGAAAAAGTTTTCATTCTAGTTAACAGATGGTCCACATGTCATATTTGATCTCAAATGACTAATAATAATAATAATAATGATGATGATGATGATGATGACGATGATGATAGTATGTACGAATTCGATTATTTATAGATTTTATACTAGGTAGGAAGATTTAAAAATATTTTTAAATGAAAAAATCTTTTTGTTTTTTCGCCCTGTATATTTCCATATATTCAATCGGATTATCAACAGAATTATCAATAATTATCTATATATATAATTCTGTGACTTCCGTTTGCCCATCTCCCCGTCCGTCACACCCTCTAAAATAGCCATTCATTAACCGACTGAAAACAAATTTTGAGAAGTCCAAACAGGTAAGGGATACAAAGAACAGTTAGTCTTACTAGCGTACATATAAGGTTTCATTATTATTTCTGAAAAAAATAAAAATTTTATTATTTAATATACAAAATACCACCACTATTTTAAAAACAATTTAATGATTGAAATAAATAACAAATACTTATTTAATAAAAATACAATATTGTTTTTTTTTTTGCATATCTTTTCATTAAGTTTTTATGTATACAAGAATTCAGTTTCCAGTTCGCTCTGTGTTTGCGAGAACTATAAACAAATCACAAGGCCAAGCGCTTTAAAAACTTGGAATTTGGCTTTAGATGGAAATATTTACGCATGAAGTTATATGTTGTATGCTGAAGTTTAAAAAAAATCTTAAGAATTTATTCTCCGCTGTTGAAAATGAAAAAAAAAAAGAAATGTTCTTAAAAATATAGTTTACAATGAAGTCCTATTAAATTATATTAAATTAAAGAAATTATTAAACCGTGAAGTAAGGTTTTTGTCTAAGAATTTTTCCAAACAAATCAGCTTCTTCAAATTTCATCGATTGGTATGCCAAAGTGAACGAAATGTAGAGTTTGTAAATCTCGATAAAAATAACTTCAACAATACAAAGTATATGAGGATTTCACAACATGTCGGCCTGTTACAAAATAATTCTAATAGATTTATAATTCCTGTTTATAATATAATTTATAATTCCTGTTTACACACCGAACACCTTATTAACGCAAAACGATTGGTTATTTTCTAATCAATAGCAACGATTAAATGAAAGCATATATAATACTACGTCTGGTATGATGTGCCTGCATAAAACGTCTAAACAGAAACAGTAAATGATGACCAAACATATTGAATGAAGGTAAAAATGGAGGCAAAAGAATTTCGATGATTTGCAAATAAATGATAATATTACGGGTATTTCCTTCACGTAAAACTGAAATAAAAAGATCTTAAAGTAGATAATGTTAGTTTGTAGGCAGTTACCGTTTAGTGGGCATTCGTAATTTATATTTATAGTAACAGGTAGAGGTTCTTGGTGTTTGTAGTATCCTGGTGATTTTTTTGATTTGTAACAATTTTTTTCCGTGCAGTAAGATTTTGGTAATTTCTGTTGAATTTCTTCGTCGTCTTCTCAATTTGGAGGTATTTCTGTTTCTGTTGAATGTAGTTATTCGGTTATGTGTAAATGTAATTTGTAGCGAAAAGTCACTGATTTTACCGCCATTTCATATTCGGTTTTGGCTTCTTTGAAAATTTGTCGTTTGGCGATTTACCACATTATTACTGTTTGTTTGATTATTCTGGTTGGATGGTTGGAAAAAGCGAAAATGGAAATGACGTGTACAGTTTTCAGAACACCCACAGTTACCTGTATGGAGGGTGAAATTTATATCAAAGAAGTTTCAATCATTTAGGGTTTTAGGTTGATTTGAATGCTGATTTCGAATCCTATTCCTTTTAAAATTGTTATAATCTCTTTTCTGATCCTAATTATTTATTGTCTCTTGCCAGTTTTGTAGGCGTCTGGGTCTATACAATCTTATGTCTTTTTTACTAATTATCCTCGCTAGTGCACAGTACGTCTATATTCCGACGATTGTCTTCTATCCTCTTTTTAGGGAGATAGACTTTTCTAATAGCAATACAGCAATGGATGGATAGAAATTGTTAATATTAATTTGAGTAAATGAACAGTTAGGTTGCGGAACCAATTTAGACATAAAGTTGTTCTTAGTCCGAGGTTAATTTCTTCATGTATATTTTTCTTAGTTTGCCTTGTGTTGGTTTTTTATCGTCATGTTGGTTTAGGTTTAAAATTGTCTATGTAGTCTTTTAGTGAAATGAAGGCTTGTGAACATTTAGGTTTTGTTTATGTGTTATTTCCTTTGTTCTGATGTTCCTTTCCCGCACACTTTTCTATGGCTTATATTCATTTTTCTTTCAAATTCTCGAAATAATCTCCTTCTTTCTGTTGTCGCGGCCATATCTTTTTTTATTTCGAATTTGTCTATGTTGGTATGATCTTTTATGTGTCTCGTTACATTCCTACTCGCAATAAGCTCCTTCTTTGTGTTGTGGTGGGTACTACTTTTTATTTTGAATTTGTCTATGTTGGTATGATCTTTTATGTGTCTCGTTAGATTCCTCCTCAAAATAATCTCCTTCGTTGTGTTTTGACGGACATATGTTTTTAATTTGAATTCGTCTATGTTGGTATGATATTTTATGTTTCTCGTTAGATTCCATCTAGAAATAATCTCCTTCGTTGTGTTGTGGCAGCCATTTCATTTTCTATCGAATTACTCCATGTTTTTACGATCGTTTATGTGTCTCGTTAGATTCCTTCTCGAAATAATTTCCTTCGTTGTTTTGTGGCGGCCATATTTTTTTATTTTGAATTGGTCTATGTTGGTATCATCTTTTATGTGTCTCGTTAGATTCCTCCTCGAAATAATCTCCTTCGTTGTGTTGTGGCGGCCATTTCTTTTTATTTCGAATTCGTCTATGTTGGTATGATCTTTTATGTTTCTCGCGGGCATTTTTTTTCTTTTTAATTCGTCTATGTTGGTATAATGTCTTATGTGTCTCGTTAGATTCCTTCTCGAAATAATCTCCTTCTTTCTGTTCTGGCGGCCATTTCTTTTTATTTCGAATTCGTCTATGTTGGTATGATGTTTTATGGGTCTCGTTAGATTCTTTCTCGAAATAATCTCCTTCTTTCTGTTGTGGCAGCCATTATATTTTATTTGGAATTCGTCTATGTTGGTATGATCTTTTATGTGTCTCGTTAGATTCTTGTCAAAATAATCTCCTTCTTTCTGTTGTGGCGTCCATTTCTTTTTATTTCGAATTCGTCTATGTTGGTATGATCTTTTATGTGTCTCGTTCGATTCCTTCTCGAAATAATCCCCATCTTTGTGTTGTGGCGGACATTTTTTTTTCTTTTTAATTCCTCTATGTTGGTATGATGTTTTATGTGTCTCGTTAGATTCCTTCTCGAAATAATCTCCATCTTTGTGTTGTGGCGGTCATTTTTTTTCTTTTTAATTCGTCTATGTTGGTATGATGTTTTATGTGTCTCGTTAGATTCCTTCTCGAAATAATCTCCATCTTTGTGTTGTGGCGGGCATTTTTTGACTTTTTAATTCGTCTATGTTGGTATGATGTTTTATGTGTCTCGTTAGATACCTTCTCGAAATAATCTCCTTCTTTCTGTTCTGGCGGCCATTTCTTTTTATTTCGAATTTGTCGATGTTGGTATGATGTTTTATGTCTTTCGTTAGATTCCTTCTCGAAGCAATCTCTTTCGTTTTGGTGTGGCAGCCATTACATTTTATTTCGAATTCGTATATGTTGGTATGATCTTTTATGTGTCTCGTTAGATTCTTGTCAAAATAAACTCCTTCTTTCAGTTGTGGAGTCCATTTCTTTTTATTTCGAATTTGTCTATGTTGGTATGATGTTTGATGTGTCTCGTTAGATACCTTCTCGAAATAATCTCCATCTTTGTGTTGTGGCGGGCAATTTTTTTCTTTTTAATTCCTCTATGTTGGTATGATGATTTATGTGTCTCGTTAGATTCTTTCTCGAAATAATCTCCTTCTTTCTGTTCTGGCAGCCATTAAATTTGATTTCGAATTCGTCTCTGTTGGTATGATCTTTTATGTTTCTCGTTAGATTCTTTCTCGAAATAATCTCCTTCTTTCTGTTGTCGCCGCCATTTTTTTTATTTCGAATTTGTCGATGTTGGTATGATGTTTTATGTGTCTCGTTAGATTCTTTCTCGAAATAATCTCCTTCTTTCTGTTGTCGCAGCCATTTCTTTTTATTTCGAATTTGTCGATGTCGGTATGATCTTTTATGTCTCTCGTTAGATTCCTTCTCGAAATAATCTCCTTCGTTTTGGTGTGGCAGCCATTACATTTTATTTCGACTTCATCTATGTCGGTATGATCTTTTATGTGTCTCGTTAGATTCTTGTCAAAATAATCTCCTTTCTGTTGTGGCGTCCGTTTCTTTTTATTTCGAATTCGTCTATGTTGGTATGATCTTTTATGTTTCTCGTTAGATTCCTTCTCGAAATAATCTCCATCTTTGTGTTGTGGCGTGCATTTTTTTTCTTTTTAATTCGTCTATGTTGGTATGATGATTTATGTGTTTCGTTAGAAACCTTTTCGAAATAATCTCCATCTTTTGGTTGTGGCAGGCATTTGTTTTTAATTCGTTTATGTTGGTATGATGTTTTATTTGTCTCGTTAGATTCCTTCTCGAAATAATCTCCATCTTTGTGTTGTGGCGGGCATTTTTTGACTTTTTAATTCGTCTATGTTGGTATGATGTTTTATGTGTCTCGTTAGATACCTTCTCGAAATAATCTCCTTCTTTCTGTTCTGGCGGCCATTTCTTTTTATTTCGAATTTGTCGATGTTGGTATGATGTTTTATGTCTTTCGTTAGATTCCTTCTCGAAGCAATCTCTTTCGTTTTGGTGTGGCAGCCATTACATTTTATTTCGAATTCGTATATGTTGGTATGATCTTTTATGTGTCTCGTTAGATTCTTGTCAAAATAAACTCCTTCTTTCAGTTGTGGAGTCCATTTCTTTTATTTCGAATTTGTCTATGTTGGTATGATGTTTGATGTGTCTCGTTAGATACCTTCTCGAAATAATCTCCATCTTTGTGTTGTGGCGGGCAATTTTTTTCTTTTTAATTCCTCTATGTTGGTATGATGATTTATGTGTCTCGTTAGATTCTTTCTCGAAATAATCTCCTTCTTTCTGTTCTGGCCGCCATTAAATTTGATTTCGAATTCGTCTCTGTTGGTATGATCTTTTATGTTGATCGTTAGATTCTTTCTCGAAATAATCTCCTTCTTTCTGTTGTCGCAGCCATTTCTTTTTATTTCGAATTTGTCGATGTCGGTATGATCTTTTATGTCTCTCGTTAGATTCCTTCTCGAAATAATCTCCTTCGTTTTGGTGTGGCAGCCATTACATTTTATTTCGAATTCATCTATGTCGGTATGATCTTTTATGTGTCTCGTTAGATTCTTGTCAAAATAATCTCCTTTCTGTTGTGGCGTCCATTTCTTTTTATTTCGAATTCGTCTATGTTGGTATGATCTTTTATGTTTCTCGTTAGATTCCTTCTCGAAATAATCTCCATCTTTGTGTTGTGGCGTGCATTTTTTTTCTTTTTAATTCGTCTATGTTGGTATGATGATTTATGTGTCTCGTTAGAAACCGTTTCGAAATAATCTCCATCTTTTGGTTGTGGCAGGCATTTGTTTTCTTTTTAATTCGTCTATGTTGGTATGATGTTTTATTTGTCTCGTTAGATTCATTCTCGAAATAATCTCCATCTTTGTGTTGTGGCGGGCATTTTTTTTCTTTTTAATTCGTCTAAGTTCGTATGATGTTTTATGTGTCTCGTTAGATTCCTTCTCGAAATAATCTCCATCTTTGTGTTGTGGCGGGCAATTTTTTCTTTTTAATTCGTCTATGTTGGTATGATGTTTTATGTGTCTCGTTAGATTCCTTCTCGAAACAATCTCCTTCGTTTTGGTGTGGCAGCCATTACATTTTATTTCGAATTCGTCTATGTTGGTATGATCTTTTATGTGTCTCGTTAGATTCCTTCTCGAAATAATCTCCATCTTTGTGTTGTGGCGGGCAATTTTTTTCTTTTTAATTCGTCTATGTTGGTATGATGTTTTATGTGTCTCGTTAGATTCTTTCTCGAAATAATCTCCTTCTTTCTGTTCTGGCAGCCATTACATTTTATTTCGAATTCGTCTATGTTGGTATGATCTTTTATGTGTCTCGTTAGATTCTTGTCAAAATAATCTCCTTCTTTCTGTTGTGGCGTCCATTTCTTTTTATTTCGAATTTGTCTATGTTGGTATGATCTTTTATGTTTCTCGTTAGATTCATTCTCGAAATAATTTCCATCTTTGTGTGGTGGCGGGCATTTTTTTTCTTTTTAATTCGTCTATGTTCGTATGATTTATGTGTCTCGTTAGATTCCTTCTCGAAATAATCTCCGTCCTTCTGTTGGGGCGGGCATATTTTTTTCTTTGTAATTCGTCTATGTCGGGATAATGTTTTATGTGTCTCGTTAGATTCTTTCTCGAAATAATCTCCTTCTTACTGTTTTCGTCGCCATTTCTTTTTATTTCGAATTTGTCGATGTTGGTATGATCTTTTATGTCTCTCGTTAGATTCCTTCTAGAAATAATCTCCTTGTTTGTGTTGTGGCGGCCATTCCTTTTTATTTCGAATTCGTCTATGTTGGTATGATGTTTATGTGTCTCGTTAGATACCTTCTCGAAATAATCTGCTTCGTTTTGGTGTGGCAGCCATTACATTTTATTTCGGATTCGTCTATGTTGGTATGATCTTTTATGTGTCTCGTTAGATTCTTGTCAAAATAATCTCCTTCTTTCTGTTGCGGCGTCCATTTCTTTTTATTTCGAATTCGTCTATATTGGTATGATCTTTTATGTTTCTCGTTAGATTCCTTCTCGAAATAATCTCCATCTTTGTGTTGTGGGGTGCATTTTTTTTCTTTTTAATTCGTCTATGTTGGTATGATGTTTTATTTGTCTCGTTAGATTCCTTCTCGAAATAATCTCCTTTCTGTTGTCGCCGCCATTTCTTTTTATTTCGAATTTGTCGATGTTGGTTTGATCTTTTATGTCTCTCGTTAGATTCCTTCTCGAAATAATCTCCTTGTTTGTGTTGTGGCGGCCATTCCTTTTTATTTCGAATGCGTCTATGTTGGTATGATTTTTTATGTGACTCGTTAGATTCTTTCTTGAAATAATCTCCTTCCTTCTGTTATCGACGCCATTTCTTTTTATTTCGAATTTGTCGATGTTGGTATGATCTATTATGTGTCTCGTTAGATTCCTTCTCGAAACAATCTCCTTCTTTCTGTTTTGGCGGCCATTTCTTTTTATTTCGAATTCGTCCATGTTGGTAGGATCTTTTATGTGTCTCATTAGATTCCTTCTCGAAATAATCTCCTTCATTGTGCTGTGACGGTCATATGTTTTTAATTTGAATTCGTCTATGTTGGTATGATCTTTCATTTGTCTCGTTAGATTCCTTCTCAAAATAATCTCCTTCGTTGTGTTGTGGCAGCTATTTCTTTTTCTATCGAATTCGTCCATGTTGATATGATCTTTTATGTGTCTCGTAAGATTCCTTCTCGAAATAATCTCCTTCCTTCTGTTGTGGCGGCCAATTTTTTTTGATTTTGAATTGGTCTATGTTGGTAATATCTTTTATGTGTCTCGTAAGATTCCTTCTCGGAATAATCTCCTTCCTTCTGTTGTGGCGGCCATTGCATTTTATTTCCATTTCGTCTGTGTTGGTATAAAATTTACGTGTCTCGTGAGATTCCTTTTCGAAATAATCTCCTTCTTTGTGTTGTGGCGGCCATTCCTTTTTATTTCGAATTCGTCTATGTTGGTATGATCTTTTATGTGTCTCATTAGATTCCTTCTCGAAATAATCTCCGTCCTTCTGTTGTGGCGGACAATGCATTTTGTTTCGAATTCGTCTATGTTGGTATGATCTTTTTTGTGTCTCGTTAGTTTCCTTCCCGAAATAATCTCCTTCTTTGTGTTGTGGCGGCCATTCCGTTTTATTTCGAATTCGTCTCTGTTGGTATGATGTTTTATGTATCTCGTTAGATTCCTTCTCGAAATAATCTCTTTCTTTCTGTTGTGACCGCCATTTCTTTTTTTTCGAATTCGTCCATGTTGGTATGATCTTTTATGGGTCTCATTAGATTCCTTCTCGAAATTGTTTTCTTCCTTTTTGTTGTGGTGGCCATTTCTTTTTATTTCGAATTCGTTTATGTTGGTATGATATTTTATGTGTTTCGTTAGATTCCTTCCCGAAATAATAACCTTCGTTGTGTTGTGGAAGGCATTTTTTTTATTTTGAATTCGTCTATGTTGTTATGATCTTTTATGTGTCTCGTTAGATTCCTTGTCAAAATAATCTTCTTCGTTGTGTTGTGACGGTCATATGTTTTTACTTTGAATTCGTCTATGTTGGTATGATCTTTTATGTGTCTCGTTAGATTCTATCTAGAAATAATCTCCTTCGTTCTGTGGTGGCGGCCATTTCTTTTTCTATCGAATTCGTCCATGTTGTTATGATCGTTTATGTGTCTCGTTACATTCCTTCTCGAAATAATTTCCTTCCTTGTGTTGTGGAGGCCATATTTCTTTATTTTGATTTGGTCTATGTTGGTATGATCTTTTATGTGTCTCGTAAGATTCCTTCTCGAAATAATCTCCTTCGTTGTGTTGTGGCGGCCATTTTTTTTTATTTTGAATTGGTCTAGGTTGGTAATATCTTTTATGTGTCGCGTAAGATTCCTTCTCGGAATAATCTCCTTCTTTGTGTTGTGGCAGACATTTCTTTTGATATCGAATTCTTCTATGTTGGTATGATGTTTTATGCGTCTCGTTAGATTCCTTCTCCAAATAATCTCCTTCGTTGTGTTGTGGTGGCCATTTCTTTTTATTTCGAATTCGTGTATGTTGGTATGATCTTCCATTTGTCTCGTTAGATTCCATCTTGAAATAATCTCCATCTTTCTGTAGTGGCGGACATTTTTTTCCTCCTATGTCGTCTATGTTGGTATGATCTTTTATGTGTTTCGTTAGATTCCTTCTCGAAATAATCTCCTTCTTTGTGTTTTCGTGGCCATTTCTATTTATTTCGAATTACTCTATGTTGGTATGATCTTTTATGTGTCTTATTAGAATTCTTCTCGAAATAATCTCAATCTTTCTATTGTGGGGGCCATTTCATTTTATTTCGAATTTGTCTATGTTGGTATGATGTTTTATGTGTCTCGTTAGATTCCTTCTCGACCAATCTCCTTCTTTGTGTTGTGGCGGCCATTCCTTTTTATTTCAAATTCGTCTATGTTGTTATGATGTTTTATGTGTCTCGTTAGATTCCTTCTCGAAATAATGTCCTTCTCTTCTGTTGTGGGGGCCATTTCATTTTATTTCGAATTTGTCTATGTTGGTATGATGTTTTATGTGTTTCGTTAGATTCCTTCTCGAAATAATCTGCATCTTTGTGTTGTGGCGGGCATTATTTTTTCTTTAAATTCTTCTATGTTGGTATGATCTTTTATGTGTCTCGTTAGTTTCCTTCTCGAAATAATCTCCTTCTTTGTGTTGTGGCAGCCATTCCGTTTTCTTTCGAATTCGTCTATGTCGGTATGATCTTTTATGTGTCTCGTTAGATTCCTTCTCGAAATAATCGCCTTCGCTGCGTTGTGGCGGCCATTTTTTTTTATTTTGAATTGGTCTGCGTTGTTATGATCTTTTATGTGTCTCGTTAGATACCTTCTCGAAATAATCTCATTCTTTGTGTTGTGGCGGCCATTTCTTTTGATATCGAATTCCTCTATGTTGGTATGATCTTTTATCTGTTTCGTTATATTCCTTCTCGAAATAATCTCCTTCTTTGTGTTGTGTCGACCATTCCTTTTTATTTTTTATGTGCCCAGTCAGATTCCTTCTCGAAATAATCTGCATCTTTGTGTTGTGGCGGGCATTATTTTTTCTTTAAATTTTGCTATGTTGTTATGATCTTTTATGTGTCTCATTAGATTACTTCTCGAAATAATCTCCTTCCTTCTGTTGTGGCGGCCATTGCATTTTATTTCGAATTCGTCTATGTTGGTATGATCTTTTATGTGTCTCGTTACTTTCCTTCTCGAAATAATCTTCTTTGTGTTGTGGCGGCCATTCCGTTTTATTTCGAATTCGTCTATGTTTGTATGATGTTTTATGTGTCTCGTCAGATTACTTCTCGAAATAATCTCCTTCGTTGTGCTGTGGCGTCCATTTCTTTTCTTTCGAATTCGTCTATGTTGCTATGATCTTTTGTGTGTCTCGTTAAAGTCCTTCTCGAAATATTCTCTTTCTTTGTTTTTGGGCTTCCATTTCTTTTTATTTTTAATCCGTCTATGTTGGTATGATCTTTTATGTGTCTCGTTAGATTCCTTCCGGAAATAATCACCTTCGTTGTTTTGTGGAAGGCATTTCTTTTTATTTTGAATTCGTCTATGTTGGTATGATCTTTTATGTGTCTCGTTAGATTCCTTCTCGAAATAATCTCCTTTCCTTTTTTTGTGTCGGACATTTCTTTTTATTTCGAATTCGTCTATGTTGGTATGATCTTTTATGTGTCTCGCTAGATTCCTTCTCCATACAATCTCCTTCGTTGTGTGGTGTCGGCCATTTCTTTTTCTTTGGAATTCGTCTATGTTGGTATGATCTTTTATGTGTCTCGTCAGATTCTTTCTCGAAATAATGTCCTTCGTTGTGTTGTGGCGGCCATTTCTTTTTCTTTCGATATCGTCTATGTTGGTATGATCTTTTATGTGTTTCGTCAGATTCTTTCTCGAAGTAATCTCCTTCGTTGTGTTGTGGCGCCCATTTCTTTTTGTTTCGAATTCGTCTATGTTGGTATGATCTTTTATGTATCTCGTTAGATTCATTCTCGAAATAATCTCCTTCTTTTTGCTGTGGCGACCATTTGTGTTTGTTTAAAATTCGTCTATGTTGGTATGATCTTTTACGTATCTCGTTAGATTCCTTCTCGAAATAATCTCCTTCGTTGTGTTGCGGGTGCCATTTTTTTTTCTTTTGAATTCGTCTAAGTTGTTATGATCACAACAGCTAGGGAGGTCATCATTTCAACTTTGAGGTAAAAAGATCAATTAGAAAACAATCCATCTCAATGTATATGACACGCGGAAAAAGACTTTTGCCTATGAATGTCCAAAAACAGTGAAAAAATGAAATCGTACGTGGAACCTGTGAAACACATTATTTCTCCAGGACAGAGTTAGAAGGGTAGAAACGGTGAAGATCATCTTGAATTAGTTGGGCAATTATCCTAGAATATATATATATATATATATATATATATATATATATATATATATATATATATATATAAATTTGAACTTTATTTCAATGTTTCATGAGCTTCTGATCCTTTGATCGATTTCATCACAATTCTTCTATTAATCTTGGGGAGTAATTATACCATTTTATTGCTCAAATTAGAATCCAATTTTGTTTTAAAAAACCTTGGGGAATTCCAATAATATATCTTTTATCATTTAAGATACAATGGTTCAGTGCTTGATCTAAGAATTGAAAAATATTGCTGTTACATCTGTATATATATATATATATATATATATATATATATATATATATATATATATATATATAATGTTTGTGTGTGTGTAACTAAAGCAAATGGAAAACTTATCTTAGCCTTTTTGTCTTGTGGTGGACTTTATCGAGGTCAATGTATGTAAAAGTTTTTATAAATGTCGTTATTTTTTCAGAATATTAAAATTTGAGAACACGCATGAATATAGATCAGACTAACTGTAAGTCAAGGTAAATTATGGATTGGATGTTTTTCATAATTTAATTATTATTTACGTTATTTTATTTTGCTATTTAATTCATTATTTGAATTAAACCGTTTTCTTTAAATTTTAAAATTTTTTATTGTCATGTATATCGGCTTTGGAAAGAAGAATTCCTGTCAGGAAAGGAGATATTTGAAAAAATGATTTTTTTATTTTTGTGTTTATTGATATTGCCGTTTTACAGATATAGTTTTAGTTATATCTGAAATTTTAGAGACACGCACTTATATATATATATATATATATATATATATATATATATATATATTTGTACTGGACTCTCCGTAGTTTTTGACATATGAGAATCAAGCAGCTCAGCCAGACTACCACCCACACATATCATCTAATGATTTTAAACGTTATTTTAATTGGGTACACGTGTTTAATTTACTATCGACATTTTTTTCTTAAAAAATGAAATTAATAACAATCGGTCTAGACCAAGAAGTCCCACTAAAGAAAAATTGTACCTCCCGACAGGAATCGAACCGGTTTCCATTTTTTCATCAGGGAAACCACTACCATAGACAAAGTCTACCCAGTGAAAATAACACCTATAATAGAAAGAAATTATGTCGAATTTAATAAATTCATTTCAAAAATATTTTGTCAATGTGTTTCTTTGTTGAAGAACTTTGACAAAGCAAGTGTAGTCATTTGATTTAGTATACTATATTTATACGTAGAAGTAACGCGGAGAAAAATAAGGTTAAGTTTTTAAATTTTGAAATATAGAATCTTCCTGCGTAATGAAAAGTAAATTATGGCGAATGTTAAATGATGTAATTTTTCTGCCTATTAAACGAAAGTGGAATAATTTTATTGGCTTTTATATGCAGTTATTATTTATTTAAATCTATATATTTTATTTTGTTTATTAATTGAATAATTAATTTATTTTTAATTTTTAAAGGTCATGTGTTAATCGCTTTCTTTTAATTTTTAAAATATTTTATGGTTATATATGTTGGATTGAGAAAAGTTAATTTCTTTTAAAAAAGAGATATTTTGAAAAATCCAGGGCGTAAGTTAATATTTTGGCAAGATTCGATAATTGCACTTTCAAGAACTATTAGTCTAAGTAAGTTAATTTCTCTTTTAATAAATACAGCATTTTAGGACGAAATTGGAATTGTAATTATTTCTGTGTAATGCATTGGATAAATTTTTAGGTAGAAGATCTTGCTTATATTCATAAATACGTTTTTGTATAGAGAGAAAATGATACATTAGAAAAAAATGAACGCATGCTATTATGCAGAAAATATTTAGAAAGAATTTTGCTTCATCTATGAACATTTCTTTGCATAAACAAATATTCATATATTTTTTCTTTTTTTTCCACATTTATATGAAATGCACATTTTTTTTTTTCATTTTTAACGTCTATAATCTTCTTTGATTTATTCGAACGATTCTTTCATTTTTGATTGCTATGAATGTAATTAGAATCGTAACTTTTCGGCCAAGCACCCTCTGACCATCTTCAGGTCTCCATTATTTTGGTTGATAAGGGATATTTTGTATGTACTGATTATTGAGATATTTTTATCCTGAGCTGCTGTTTTTTGTTCGTTCGTGATGAAATTAACTACTTTACCATTTTTTACCAGTGCTCATATTGTAATTTTTGCTGTCATTATTGCATGTTTTTACCAATTTTTATTGTTATTATCGCTTTTTCTGGCATTCCTTATTACTGGTTCCCACATTAATTTCTATGCTTGGTCGGCTCAGGAGATTTTTGTGGCTTAGCATATGTGCTGATTCCTTAAGTTTACGAAGTTTCCAATGGTGTTCTTTGTCTATGATCTCAACCTGATCCCACAGAGGGCGGTGATCTCACTTTTCTCTCCATATGTGGTCACTTCCCCTCGTGTTACAGCTTTCTGGTGTTCTTGAAGCCTTACCTTAAGGAGGCAGCCTGTCTCCCCTTTATATTTCTTTCCACAGCTGCACGGGATAGCGTACACACCGTCTTTAGTCATGTTCTCCTCTATTTGGGGGGGGGGAGTCTTACGTGGGAGAGATATCTGCGAAGTGTCCAGATTTTGAAGGTTGTCCTGATGTTATATGAGCCGCAGATCCTTTGTATTTTCTCTGATAACCCCTTCACATAAGGCAGGCAGTATGACTGGTAAAAAATGATTGCTGAAGACATTAGGTTTATAATACCCAGAAATTCATACACAGAATGCCCCCAAGCACAGTGGATAAAGGCGTTGGTTAGATCCAGTGACAGAACCGAAAGAGTGTGAGTTCAATACCCGGTTAAGGAAGTGGAGAACTTGGAGAGGGGACTTAACAGGAGATAACTGATAACTGACAGCCATTAAGCATTCCAACCACCTGAAGAATATATATATATATAAGGCAACACTTAAGACTATATACTCCCGCACGCACTGCAGTGACGCTTTTATGTGTTTTATTTTTATTTAATGGTTAGTACTTTATTTGTTTTTGCCTTGGTGTTATATATTAGGGTATTAATTATGGGAGGTTTGTTCGTTTTTTGGTGTTTGTGTGTGTGTTTGTGTGTGTGTGTCTGTGTGTGCGCGTTCGTATTTGTATGTACCTGTACACACACGCGTATATAGGTGTGTATGTTTATTTAAAGTGTTCGTTTATTTATTTATTATTAAATTAAATTCATATTATATTTATTTCATTTATTTATTTATTATATTTATTTTACTTGTTTATTTTAATTAGTGCTTAGATGACAAAGTAAATATTTATTTATATGCCTACATTTACCCATTATTTCACTTTTCTTCTTTAGGAATTTATTTTAGTTTTTAAACTAATTATTGCCAATTTTTCTTCTAAGCATAATTCACAATTTTTACTGTTAATACTGTAATTGGGCTGTTCTTTTGTAATTTCCCATTTGATTTTGGTAGAGATATTTTCTTTTTGACACCATGTGTATTTTGACAGGGTTGTGTTGTTTATATATTTTTTCTTTCGGATAACATTGTGGTTATAATATCTTTTTTAAAGTGTTTTCTGTGGCGCCTATGTAATTTTTTCGTCTGTGTTAATGTTATTAGTGACGATAACTTTGTATATTATGTTATTGGTTAAATATTTATTGTTAAGTGGGCAATTTTCTTTGTTTTTGCAGGTACATTTAATGGTGTTAGTTTGATGCATATTATTGTTATTGTTGTTGTAATTATTATTTTGTCTTTGTTGAGCATTTTTATTGTGCTTAGTTATTATTTTCTCCGTGTTACCTATGAAGCTGTAACTAATTTTGATTGTATTTTTTTTGATAAATTTTGATAATATTCTCATTTTAGGGAAATGTTTGTCAGTTATTTTGTAGAATATTATCCTATTTTTGTTTTTATTGTATTGTTGTAGGAGGTCGAACCAAATTATATTTCTTTTTCTGTTGTTTTTGTTTGAATTATTTTCTTTTTTATATTCTAGTTTGTTTAAATATCCGCTATTTCTTAGGGCTGATTCATGTGTTTTTTTTATTTATTTTCATTGAATATTTTTAGACAACTAGAATTTGTTGAAATTCTTTTATTTATAGATATTGGTATGCGTTGGGAGTGGAGTTAAAACATTTGTTAACGTATATTGGGTTGTTTGCTTTTCTGTATAGTTTGTATGTATCATTGTTTTGGTTGAAATTATCGAAGAAATTTACTATTTTTTGATTGGATTTTATGTCTATTGTAAATCTTAGTATTTGAAGCTTTTTATTATTTCTAGTTTTTATTTTTTCTGCCGTTGCAGTTTCTTAATATTAATATACGATCGTTCCTGTACAGACCTATATATTTTTTTGTTAATACTATTTTTTAATACTTTTTTGTTAATTTATTGATTTTATATATGCCAATAAATTTGCATTATTGAGTGATAAATTCCGAGTTTAAATTTTCATTTCGAATAATCCTTCCCATTTGCAGCCATTTGATACGTCTGTGATATATATATATATATATATATATATATACTTTACATATATACTTCACACACATACCCACACACCCACACACACACACACACACACACAC